ATCAATTAGGACAGAGTCCCGGAGTGGGAAGTAGAGGAAATCTTGGATGCAAGGGTGAGGTATAAACGGCTGAATTACTTCGTCGGATGGAAAGGCTACGACGCATCGCACGACCAGTGGGTCCGCTTCGACCGCGTCTTCGCCCCGGAGAAGATCGCGGAGCTCTATCGTAAGTACCCTGGCAAGCCACGGCATATCGCCTCCGCTACCTTCGACTCTATTCCGTTCCGGTCTATGCGTTGGGACGCTGCATTCAAAGGGGGGGTGATGTCAGGGGAACCCCCCTTTTGGCCCCCTCGGAGACGCGTCCGACTCCGGTCCGATTCCAGTTCCGACTCCGGTCTGGCCCTCTATCTCGCCCACACAATCACCGATCCGTCAACGCCCTCCTGACGGTCGCCCTGGGACCTCGCCTGCGACGCTGCCCAAGCCTTCTGTGCCCGACAGCGGCAGCTACGGACAAGCAGTATATAGTCAGCTCCCTAGCAGGCAGACCCTCAGAGTTTCTTCTCTTTGGATCCTCCCCTGCTAGGTCAGCTTCATTTGTATTCGCTTACCAATGTTCACGCTTTGGATCCTCCCCTGCTAGGACCTTGATCTCAGGCCTCCGGGGTTGCCCTTACACATATGATGGTGACGAGATACCATGTTTTATTGATAATACTCTTTAAACCCTCCTGATAGTACTTAAATTATGTATTTCCATCAAGTACTTGCAGAGATAGAGGCTTATCAGTTTTAAATCAGCGAATGATTGGCTAGTACTGCCACAACTATTCAGCTGCCACTACAGGTTACTAAATGAAAGTTGTTCATATAGTCAAAATATACAACTTTGGTTTTGTGACAATCTGTGACATAGTCTAATAATTGTACCGTCAAATGGTGAAAATTTCCTTTTTTGGAAAGTTGTCATGCTTATCACTCCATATTATGGTATATAACAGTACGGCACAGGTACCGAATAGTGGTTATTGACCAAAAGTTCCTTTTTAGGACACTCTGTCACATGTCACATAGTGGACTTGGTTCCGATAGCCTATGTCGTATTATTCACCTTTATTCACCCCTACATGCTAGACTTAGTGAAAATTTGCCTTGGACTTCACAATTAATATTATTCACCCCCTTCACCAACAATTATTCGCCACTTGGGGAATTCAAGTTGCTGATAACACTGGGGCTTATCAGTGGCAACCTGCGTCATTGCCACACTGATAATGTACAGTGTGTTGTGGGCTAAACCGTCAAATTCAAATTTTTGTATCAAATGTCACGCCATTATTGGCATTCGAATTGAGTAAAATACTATAGTAGTGGTCCTCGATCGAGTTTCTTCTCATCAGGAAACACGGATTCGGCTATTCCCATAGCACTCTGTAGCGCTATATATCGGGCAACTTGTCTACAGAGCTATGAGTGCTATAGATGCTCCTGTAGCGCTACCAGGGCAGTTACCGTGTTTCCTGATGCTTGTAATTGCCTAAGTTCTTTACCGCTAACAAGCTTCTAAAAGCTGACATCTCGAATGGGCTGTGGACGATCTCGCAATCTGGTCGCCTCTGACAGACTGCAACTACGTACTGATTCAATTTTCGTGCCTATTAAGCGGCGCAAGCAGATCTAGAGGCCAAAACGAGTGTTATTTGACAAAACAAGTGGGAGTATATGCACGCGTCGTGTTGGCGTGGTTACGCCGCAACGGTTCCAAGAAACTTGAAGGGGGAAGCCAAGCCAAGTCACTAACTATATGCCCGACTAAGTAATAGTCCATAGTCCATAAGCCATAAGATACAGAGGGAAAATATGCTGAAGCCTGAGGTTAGTGTACTTAGTTTCCTTGAAGCATTGAATAAGATTAAATAACAAATTGTTTTTTTTAATATACTAGTACTCTACTACTTAGTATTTATACTCCCACCATGATTTATTGATTATCTGCACTTTCACCTTATGAGCAGGATTGTACTGCGATAATTTCCTCTCTAACATAAGCTGAGCTTTATCTAACTCAGCTTGGCTAAGGGACAAGCCACCAGAAGAAGAGTTATGGAAATGCCCTATCAATGTCTCTACTCCTTGCCACCAATCGAGTATCCGTTGAAGATCATTGTCCCGGTCAAAATTTCGTAAACTTTGACGATGCAACTCGTTGTATGACATCCCAATGTGGATCTCAGTGAAGTGCCGAACAGCGCACTGGAACTCTCGAGGCATTGGGTTCAAGAGGTGATACCAAGAAGGGGCTTGTGCAAGTCGAAGCGCCATGTGTGGACGAGGCAGCGATCGCCAACGGATTGCATGTGAAATGTCGACAATTTGATGGAAGAATGTTTCCGGGCTGTCGTAGTACCTTGCGCTAAACCACACAACAGTGACGTGGCCCAGGAGCGGAAGGCTACAAGTTGTAAGGAGAAGATGGATTATGGCAGGTCCAGCTTCTACGCATTGCAAGTTGGCAAATGCTCGATTGGATTCAAGTTGCCGATCAGAGTGGGGCCGGCCCGGGAGTGGAAACTCCCACGGCGCTGGGCCGTTCGCTCGCATGAAGTTATACTCGTCGGGAATAATGCGAATCGTCGTCAGGTGTGGAAACCATGTGGCAAGGTCAAGCAGAGTTTCTGGTGGAGCTGAACTTTGAGCTGAATAACAATCGACGAGCGTGAGTTCCGAAGTATGTGGAGCGGAGCCAGCGAATCGAGGAAGCACCGCAGCCCATAGATCCAGAGGGGCAGCTTCCAAGTCAACCTCAAGCTTGGATAGACAAGTGTCTTGCAAGCACTCCAAAAGAGTATCGATCACAGGAGTCACCAACAGACTCGCCGAGTTGATGACAAGTTTCTCGAGCAGAAGATTGTTGCGCATATGCGGGACACTGACTTGAACAGGGACTTCACGGTATCCATCAGCTTCCCGGCAGGCCTCGAAATAGGTTCTGAACTCACCGAGAGGCATCGACTCGGACGCTGGCAAATCATGAGTGTAAGACGGCTGTTTTAACATGATATCGTCCGAAATGCCAGTGGGCTTCTTTGGGCGGAGAATCACGGGCAAACGACCATGGTGCACTCCAAGCTCTCCACATCCGGCACCAAGTATCTGCTCCAACAATTTACTGAGGGTCGGCCCAACACCGGCTAAGATCGGCTCGCCGGCATAGGTGTCGTTAAGCTCCTCGGGAAAGCGGAGAGAGACCTTCTTCAGCGAGTTCAGCGGCTTGAGTCGTCTTATAAAACGGGAAACCCGAGCAATTTGTCCCGACCCCAGAGAAATTGATCCGAAATCCTCCGAGTCAAGATCGCCAGCGGATCGCCGCTCTACCCGAAATGTGATCGTAAGCTCCTCGATAGCGGGAAGAGTTATACAGAGTCCAAGGCTAAGGACCATAAGCGGGTCCACCTCCCCACTCGTGTCCCAGGCCGCAATGGACATGGATGTAGTCGAGGGATTAAGGGAGAATCGGTCCATCAGAACGTTGATGGCAATGGTATTGAGGGCTCGGGATAGCAAGGAAAGGGACTTCAAGGCTTCATTTGGCAAGTAGGAGCAAATATGGAAAAGTAATTCGGGTGGAATGTCTTCTGTGAGTCGAATTGACATGGTGGCGAGACTCGCCGAGTGATCAGTGCTGAGCGGTGTGCTTTGTTCCCTTGACCGGCCTCTGTTTAGCCATACGCTAAATACCCATCGTCGCCGCAGCAGGAGCCTCGGCTCAACCAACCCCAGAAGCTGCAAGATCGAGCATTGCCCACTAGTTAATAGTATTCACTGGATAATCGTCCACTTTCGTTTCGTAAAATAACACTCGTTTTCGCCTCTAGATCTGTTTGCGCCGGCTAATAGGCACGAAGATTGAATCAGTGCGTAGTTGCGGTGAGAGTTGCAATTGCTGTCCAAGGCCAGTAGATTGCTAGATCGTCCACAGCCCATTTGAGATCTCAGATGTCGAACTTTTAGAAGCTTGTTAGCCGGAAAGAAGTTAGGAAATGAGTTGAAGGCTAAGATGAAGCTCGATCGAGGCGGGACTGCGTGAAGTGAGTTGACAGAGACCTCTGGTGTCATCTTCCGCGTGGACCGCGCACCGATTATCCGACTTGGCGCTGCCGTCACTAGCATGGACTCACGGAGAGTGTTTAGAGGGAGTCAGTGGGTCGTAGCTAGTTGGCTACTCCAGTATCCTTTGAACCGATGGTTGAAGTTCGAGATGTTGATGCCACTAACTTGGAGGACAATACTACAATAATATTTGAGGGACATTGTCAGACCGGTCACCGAAGCTTAAGATTGACGATTCCTCGTAGCTAGACAGTAAGCTGTACCAGTGGCTGAGAAGCAAGGGCTCATACCGGGGATATGGACACCAGAATCCGTTGCTGTGTCGCAGCATGAAAGTGGTTTGATGGATAATGTCACAGTGTCACAGTGTGACATTATCATGTCGGCTATCAATGAGTCTCTTTTGCTCACTCTCACGACGCAGTCTGAAGACGATCTCGCGTATACGGATAGGATCCTTCAAGACGTATTACGACGATACAATGACTACACTAAACTTTGGCGACTCGAATACCGGTGGGGTCGACGATGCTGGTGGTTGGGTTCGCGCTGCAGACGGGTGTTGGTGGTCAGTGTGATGGAAAGCAGGAAAACACGCACATCCAGGCGACCACGGTGGTGGCCTTGACGAAAAACGGCGCGCTGGAAAATAGGTTAGTACAGCTGGCCAATGGAGGCGGAGTGGGACTGACACGTCGGTGAGTTTTTCGTATTCACGAGTGACGGTGAATATAGCCGCGGGGGCAGCCTGACGATGTTTCTAGTGACTGCAAAGAAATGAAGAAGGGGAGACTGACCACGACGAGCGAGGAGAAAGTAGCAAAAGCAAGGAGGGACTTGAGCATGATGGTCAGGTTGGTTGATTGGGTTGTCGTCTGTGCTCGCTCGTCCTTATATGTTTTCCCGCATTAGGAACTGGTTCAGAATGATCGCAGTCCACGGTGATGAATTCCGTCGCCTGCAGAATCGCATCAGCACTTTCCCGCTTCGAATCTGGTAACTTGTAAGTTCCACACGTCGCTTGGGTAGATGTCGTGAAGCTGATATGCGGACAGTGAGCAAATCGGAGATTCGGTACAACAGACTGCGCAGCGGCCTGGAGACTTTAAAAGCCAGGGCGAAAGTGGCTCGTCTTCAATCCAAACTTCTCTCCTTCGTTGCACACTTTGGCATGCTTACCGCCGCGGCCACCATCCTCGTTTCTCTTGCCTTTGCTCGTTCAGCCTTTGGCTCGGTTGGTCCCGTCGCGGACATCACGCTCGTCAACGCCCTGGTTGCCCCCGATGGCTTCACCCGCTCGTCAGTATTCATATCGCGCTAAGGGACATCCAAATTAACGAAGTTTTAGTGCTGTCACCGCTGGTGGCACCATTCCCGGTCCCCTCATCAAGGCCAACGTCGGCGATACATTCCAGCTGAACGTTATCGACGCGCTCACCGACAGCACCATGCTTTTAAGCAGCTCCATTCATTGGCACGGCTTGTAAGACTCTTCCTTTGCTGATATCTCCCGCTAATGACCCAATAGCTTCCAGGCTAACACTGCCTGGGCAGACGGGCCCGCATTTGTTACTCAATGCCCTATTGCTCAGAACGACTCCTTTGTATACGAGTTTTCGACTGTAGGACAGCCAGGTAAAACTTCAAAACGGATTCGCCCTTCAATAACACCTCTCTCTCCCAGGCACATACTGGTATCATTCCCATCTTTCCACCCAATACTGTGATGGTCTTCGCGGCGCCATGGTTGGTATGTGCTGTCCTCTTACTCTCGCTGCTTTTTGGTTAATTCTTCGCTCAGTCTATGACCCCAATGACCCACACGCTAGCCTGTACGACGTCGACGACGATAGTACAGTCATCACTTTGGCCGACTGGTATCATGCACCTGCTCACACACTCCCCGGCGCCCCCACCCTCGTTTCAACGTTGATCAACGGTCTTGGCCGTTATGCTGGTGGTCCGACCTCTCAGCTATCGGTCGTGTCGGTTACTCAGGGGAAGCGTTATCGCTACCGTCTTGTGTCGCTTTCATGTGGTAAGTCTATGTGGGTTATGGGGAGTCTATGGTCTGACGTTCTTGTTTAGGCCCCAACTTCAAGTTCAGCATCGACAACCATACGATGACGATCATCGAGGTCGACGGCGTCAACACCAAGGTGAATCTGACGGCTCCTAATGATTCTTGCTGACGCTGCTATAGCCCTTAACCGTGGACTCAATCCAAATTTTCGCTGGCCAGCGTTATTCGTTTGTCCTCAATGCCAATCAAACTATCGGAAGCTATTGGATCCGCACCGTTGCTAACAGTGGCACCCAAGGTCATTTTTGACTTCTTCCTCATATTTTCTGCTAACCGAGTATAAAAGGTTTCGCCAACGGCATCAACTCCGCTATTCTGCGTTACGCTGGTGCAGACACCTCAGCAGACCCAACAACTCCACTTGTGGCAGCAACCAACGCCATGGTTGAAACTAACCTCCACCCGCTTGTCGCTCGTCCGGCTGCTGGTGCTGCTGTGCGCGGAGGAGCGGATGTCAATTTAAATCTCGCCGTTGGTTTCTCTGGTGGACACTTTACCGTGAATGGAGCCCAATTTGTACCACCCACTGCGCCTGTCCTTCTCCAAATCCTCAGCGGAGCACATACCGCAGCTGAATTACTCCCTGCAGGAAGCGTTTAGTATGTCATCTCATCAGTCTCCGTAACATTCCGTCTCACTATCGCGTCAGCACTCTGCCGCCCAACTCGGTCGTCGAACTCTCCATTCCTGGCGGCTCTCCTGGTGCTCCCCATCCGTTCCATTTGCATGGTGTGCGTATACTTCTTCTTTCTTCTCCCTCCTCCTTATGGTTCCAAAGCACAACTTCTGGGTCGTTCGCAGCGCCGGTAGCACAGCGTACAACTATGTCGACCCCGTTATTCGCGATGTTGTGACCACAGGAACTTCGACGAGGTAACTTCCCACTCTTCAGCTGTCATTCCCAGAATCTTATTCTCATCTCAGCGACAACACCACGATCCGTTTTGAAACTGATAATGCGTGCGCAATATGCCTGTTCTTCTCTATATTTTATTCTAACCCGCTTCCGCAGCGGTCCATGGTTCCTCCACTGCCATATCGACTTCCATCTTGAAGTGTAAGCCGCGCGTCTCATGTTTGTCGTTCGCCAAGTGCTCAACTTCGAAATAGTGGCCTGGCGATCGCTTTTGCTGAAGACACCGATACCGTCGTCAACTCGGTCCAGCCCGACAAATGGCACACCTTGTGCCCGACTTACAACGCGCTGACCCCTGCGCAGTTGGGCGGTCTTTGACCGTACTTTTTCTGGATTCAAGTTCTATTGGTACATACTGAATAATAGAGACTGTTGCTGTTGATAATGATTCCAATTGCTATTCGTTTCAATCGTCGTGATTGAGCGGCTCAACGGCCCGAGCTTCCTACGTCGTACGTCAACCCTATCACCGCTTCTCTCCGTCTACCATCATGAGCACGGAGGGTCGACTGCGGGACGATCTTTGGATCGCGCACAAGCCCTCTGGGTACACATCAGCTCAAGCCCAGCAATGGCTGGCCAAGATCAACTACCCAACTTCGAACTTGGACGCGGTCAACCTCTCCTTGGAAACGCTGACGCGCCTCGTCCAGCTCAGCGTGACGACGTTCCCGTTCGAGAATACCGCAATGCATTAGTGAGTACCGGCGATTCGTTCTTGAGGTTCAATCTAACCCCGTGCAATAGCACTGCGGGGCACACGATGGACGTGTCGTATCCCGCGCTCTTTGATCGCCTCGTTGCGGGTGGCACAGGCGCCGGATCGTGGTGCTACGGGCTCAACGGGCTGTTCTACCAGATGCTCCTTGCGCTTGGCTTCCGGTGCGTATATTTGTGAGGTACCCAGATTGCAATTCACGCCGGGCAGCGTGTACGCCGGCGCCGGACGGATCAACCCGCTTCCGGCCGAGTCTGATCCGCAGTTCCTCGCCTTTGTGCACATGGTACTGTTTGTGCAGCCGACGGCGGGGAGCAACGCGACCTTCGTCGTGGACACGGCGTCCGCGCTCGTCCGGCCCATACCGCTGTGCGACGGCGCGGAGGTGCCCGGCGCAACGCCGACGGAACGCTTTCGGCTCAGACGGGCCGCGCGGCCGGAAGCTAGTTTGCGTGCGTTGTACGAGCTAGGTTACCTCATGATGTTTACTTTTAAGCTACAGGTACTTCTCCGGACGCGATAGCGCCGGCCCCGGCGGAATGGTGGCTCGAGCATATCCAGGATGCGAAAGACACGGGCATGCCTCCGACGACCCGCGTGATGTACTCGTTCATCGAAGACGAGTTCTTCGAGACGGAACGCGCCGCGGGGAACGCGACTGTGCTCGCCGCGACTGGTGGGATTTTCGCGGAGACAGTCGTGTGCAGCAAATATTTCTTTCTTACTGACGAAGAGGCGAAAAGCATTGGACAAATTCAAGCGGAGCAGGAGGGCCCCGCTCATGCGGGCGAGCATCTCGGCAAGCTCGCCATGGGCGGCAACGTCGTGCGGAAACATGTGGGCCTGCAGACGACGCTGGTGAAGGAGCTGGAGAATGAAGCGGACAGGGTCGATGCGCTCAGGGAGTGCTTTGGGATCATTGTACTGCGGGAGGAGGTGGGATATATGGAGGGTCGGCAGGCGGCGCTCAAGTAACGGCAAAAGGAAAGGAAAACGAGCAGGAAAAGGAAATTGATAACAGTGGGTTGGTTACAGGCGCGTCGTGTATATTGTACGGAATGCCACTACTTTTACGCGAATGCGGCACGCGCAGCGTCGAAGATGGGGTTGAGCTCTTTGGAGTCGGCGTTGAGTTTATCGGCAATGTTCTGTTGTCAGACCGATGAGCGAAGAAGAAGAAAGACAGTATAGCAACGAACCGGGCACGTCTTGGCCGCCGCGTCCTTGAGTCCGTTCGTGTTCTTCTGGAACGACAAGATGCTGTCGGCTATGGTCGACTTGATAACCTGGCCGCCAATTTCTACGCTAGCTCAGTAAAACACGGAGTCTGGAAAAAAACCGACGACGCACTGATGATATCCGCTGCTTTGGCCTGGATATCCTTGAGCGATGTCTCCGTTTTGGCCTTCGCGCCGGAGAGGCCCGTGGCGCTGTTGTAAAGGCTAGTGCAGTCGGCAGGGCTGAAGGTCCCCGTGAACGAGTCGGTGGTCGTCTTGAGCTGGTTTTGGACGATGGACGAGTCGGTGCCGACTTTCTAAGGAGATATAGGAGAAAAAGTGAGGAAAACAGGATTCGGAGAACAGCAAAGCGCACCAGCAGGTCAGCGAGGGTCGATTTTGGGCCGATCGATTCAACCTGGGAATTGAGAGTGGCGATCCCACCATTGAGGGCGGCGAGCGCGGCTTTGGCATCCCTCGCAGAAAGCGGGCTCGCCACCGCAACGGCGGAAACAGCGAAGGCAGCAATAATGTGCAAAAACTGCATGGCGGACGTGAGCGGCAGGCACAAGGAAAGTTTCTGGGACGCACCCTTCGCCTCCACCCCTCGCTTTATACCTCTCGTAGTCGCTAGCCATCTTGGCATCCCATCGAACGATCCTCGGTGGGGCGACACATGTCCAGGACCACCTTCTCAGAACCACTGCCCAAACCCAGCAGCCGTCTCGCCTGAACCAGCCTCTTCGCGAGAATTCAATGCGGGGCACGAACCGCCGGCGCGCAAACGGGAAGTCGGGATCCCGAGAGCGGTTTCAGCTGGGCAGCGTCCACGCACAATGGTGGAGCGCATTACTTCGAGGGTCTGAATTCAAGTTGTTGTCCTGTGCAGCCGCTCGGCGCGCGCGGTGTTGGTTCTTTCAGAGCGCTGGCGCGCTATTTGGGCGCTTTAAAAACGTGTCGTATAAGGAGAAGCGAATTTGAGGTGGCTGTGATCAATGACTTGATTCAAGTCCCACTCAACGAACTTTTTTTATTTTTCAGATACTTATAGTACTACTAGTACTAGTGATTGAAAACTAATGTTAGTCAGTGCGATCCCAGTCGTCCTCCCTAAACTCCACGGCCACCAATTTTCTCTCGAAGAGGTTCGGTATTGCCACTCGGATTTTTTCAAAAACGACATCCTGGCTTTCACGAACCTCCGGCTCCCTGCCCATGACAAATCGCTTACTGTGCTTCGGCACAACAATGATGTCGATTTGGATAGGGGTTGCGCCGTGGGTTAAGACAACACGTTCCAGAGTTTCCGAAGCAAGTTTGAGACGCATCTTTGGGGCCGGTCTAGGTGGCTGATAGCGCAGACCGAACCAAGGCTTGTATTGCCACTCTTCGTCAACAATGGGCTCTGGGAGTGGGGTCCAAGAGTAGGCGGTAGAAGTGATGCAGATGGTTTCCAGGGGGCAAATGCTGGACAGAGTGTCCAGCGCATCGACAAAAAGCATTGTCCATGAAATACCGAGGTGGGTGAGCGAGCTGAGAGGGTTGAGGTTCAGGATTTCCCTGCCACGGCCGTGGGCTAGTGATAGCGGTTAGGCGTTGGCCGTACATTCGAATAGAATAACTTACATGTACCGGTTAGATCGACATCTTGGAGCTCTTTGCCGTTCCGGACAAAGAAGTCATTTAATTCGTCTGCGAAACTGGCGTTATAGATGAACCGCTTCAAGGTCGTCAAGTCCACCTCGTACTCCCAAAGACGAATCAATGAGAGGACGAGCCACGCGCAATCGACGATTGCGAGCTCTTTGATGTGGCGCAGACCCGAGTGATCTATTTCATCCGACCTCACAATCGTCATTAGTTCCTGCTCGAACCATGAACGAATCGTGACGGAGTCGATGCTTTTCGAGTAGTTCTCGATCCGGGAGATGTCGTGCGCATTCTGAAATTCGACATGTCGGAGAGTCGGGGTAATGTGCAGGAGAGGTTCAACAAGTTCGGTCTGGCGGGTTGTATCGCCGTACAGGTAGGATGTCAACCGGACACTTTCCAGAGACGGCCAGTCCTGTGATATTATCCGGGCAACCGCTTCGTCCGAACAGTCTCCGACGCCAATGATTTTGACCAGCTTTCTGAGCCGAGCAGCGTTGGTGAAGATGGCAGACTCGGACTCGGAGCCTGAACTCGTAGGGCAAAGAATGCCCAGGAGCTCAGCAAGTGTACAAAACCACTACGGGTAGTGGTCTTCTGGCCTTGGCTTGGCCTGAAAGCCATGGCTTTGGCCCGGCTTTCCTTAGCTTTGGCCTAGCAAAACGTCAGGCCAGGCCAACTCGGCTGGCTTTGGCCTGGCTTTAGCTTGGCTTTGGCCCAGGCCATGGCCGCGGCTGAGTTTGATCCGGTGCTGTTGGACAGATATTGGCATCAGAAACAATATTAAATATTTGATCTAGTTCAAAGACTGGTAAGAAGGCAAACTGTAGAGCATCTATAAAGCCTTTAGATACTAGCAATGACCCTTCTAGGCTAACATATCACTAGATAATTTCCTTTTGGGTAGTTAAATCAGCTATCAATGATCATAATGAAAGCCATTGGCTTTTGGCCTGGCTTTGGCTTTCTAAACCCTTAAGCCAGGCCAAAGCCAACACAGGCCAAGATTTCTGGCTTGGCTTTGGCCCTGGTACCAAAGCCAAAAAGCCATGGCTTTTTGGCCTGAAGCCAAAGCCAGAAGACCACTAACTACGGGGTTCAGTGTATGTGGTGAAGACGATCTCGCGAAAGAGCCAGGCTTGAGAGATGTCCACGAAGGAGCGCTGGACGAGGGATAGAGACGCTAGGGTAGGCTTTCCTGGAGCCTGGGTGCATGGGTGAGAATATCCAGAGCTTGAGGACGCGCCGCAGACGCCAATAATCTTGTTCCATAGCTCTTGTGGCAATTCCTAGGTGGTATTACTAGTGTTACATTAGTCCAGACAACGAATGACATACCGGTGCGGCGAGTGGAGTTGCGATTGTACTTGTGTCGGACATCGTCTTTGGGCAAGAAGAAAGTGCGTGTGTGGCAGTGTAGTTTGTGTGCGTGCAGTGTGGACATGAAACGAGGCGGCCTGGGAAATGAATACCTCGAGGCTGGCTTTATCATTCATGGCTTGGATTGGCTTGAGGATGGTTTTCGGAGCCATATATGAGTCCTTCGCCACGGCCAGTGTCGTTCAGGTTGACCATATACTTACTTTTTTGAAGGCTTCGCCGCTTCGAAGCTAGTGGGAGTCTCTCGATTTGGATAATTGAACACAGCCCCAGACAGTGTAATAGAGGTTTTCCACCTACCTCAGAGTATTAGAAGGCCTCGACGAGAGCCACAACAAAACGGACATGATGGCGAGGTCCTCGCCATCATGTCATATACTTACTTTTTTGAAGGCTTCGCCGCTTCGAAGCTAGTGGGAGTCTCTCGATTTGGATAATTGAACACAGCCCCAGACAGTGTAATAGAGGTTTTCCACCTACCTCAGAGTATTAGAAGGCCTCGACGAGAGCCACAACAAAACGGACATGATGGCGAGGTCCACTCGGATTTTTTCAAAAACGACATCCTGGCTTTCACGAACCTCCGGCTCCCTGCCCATGACAAATCGCTTACTGTGCTTCGGCACAACAATGATGTCGATTTGGATAGGGGTTGCGCCGTGGGTTAAGACAACACGTTCCAGAGTTTCCGAAGCAAGTTTGAGACGCATCTTTGGGGCCGGTCTAGGTGGCTGATAGCGCAGACCGAACCAAGGCTTGTATTGCCACTCTTCGTCAACAATGGGCTCTGGGAGTGGGGTCCAAGAGTAGGCGGTAGAAGTGATGCAGATGGTTTCCAGGGGGCAAATGCTGGACAGAGTGTCCAGCGCATCGACAAAAAGCATTGTCCATGAAATACCGAGGTGGGTGAGCGAGCTGAGAGGGTTGAGGTTCAGGATTTCCCTGCCACGGCCGTGGGCTAGTGATAGCGGTTAGGCGTTGGCCGTACATTCGAATAGAATAACTTACATGTACCGGTTAGATCGACATCTTGGAGCTCTTTGCCGTTCCGGACAAAGAAGTCATTTAATTCGTCTGCGAAACTGGCGTTATAGATGAACCGCTTCAAGGTCGTCAAGTCCACCTCGTACTCCCAAAGACGAATCAATGAGAGGACGAGCCACGCCAATCGACGACGATTGCGAGCTCTTTGATGTGGCGCAGACCCGAGTGATCTATTTCATCCGACCTCACAATCGTCATTAGTTCCTGCTCGAACCATGAACGAATCGTGACGGAGTCGATGCTTTTCGAGTAGTTCTCGATCCGGGAGATGTCGTGCGCATTCTGAAATTCGACATGTCGGAGAGTCGGGGTAATGTGCAGGAGAGGTTCAACAAGTTCGGTCTGGCGGGTTGTATCGCCGTACAGGTAGGATGTCAACCGGACACTTTCCAGAGACGGCCAGTCCTGTGATATTATCCGGGCAACCGCTTCGTCCGAACAGTCTCCGGCGCCAATGATTTTGACCAGCTTTCTGAGCCGAGCAGCGTTGGTGAAGATGGCAGACTCGGACTCGGAGCCTGAACTCGTAGGGCAAAGAATGCCCAGGAGCTCAGCAAGTGTACAAAACCACTACGGGTAGTGGTCTTCTGGCCTTGGCTTGGCCTGAAAGCCATGGCTTTGGCCCGGCTTTCCTTAGCTTTGGCCTAGCAAAACGTCAGGCCAGGCCAACTCGGCTGGCTTTGGCCTGGCTTTAGCTTGGCTTTGGCCCAGGCCATGGCCGCGGCTGAGTTTGATCCGGTGCTGTTGGACAGATATTGGCATCAGAAACAATATTAAATATTTGATCTAGTTCAAAGACTGGTAAGAAGGCAAACTGTAGAGCATCTATAAAGCCTTTAGATACTAGCAATGACCCTTCTAGGCTAACATATCACTAGATAATTTCCTTTTTGGGTAGTTAAATCAGCTATCAATGATCATAATGAAAGCCATTGGCTTTTGGCCTGGCTTTGGCTTTCTAAACCCTTAAGCCAGGCCAAAGCCAACACAGGCCAAGATTTCTGGCTTGGCTTTGGCCCTGGTACCAAAGCCAAAAAGCCATGGCTTTTTGGCCTGAAGCCAAAGCCAGAAGACCACTAACTACGGGGTTCAGTGTATGTGGTGAAGACGATCTCGCGAAAGAGCCAGGCTTGAGAGATGTCCACGAAGGAGCGCTGGACGAGGGATAGAGACGCTAGGGTAGGCTTTCCTGGAGCCTGGGTGCATGGGTGAGAATATCCAGAGCTTGAGGACGCGCCGCAGACGCCAATAATCTTGTTCCATAGCTCTTGTGGCAATTCCTAGGTGGTATTACTAGTGTTACATTAGTCCAGACAACGAATGACATACCGGTGCGGCGAGTGGAGTTGCGATTGTACTTGTGTCGGACATCGTCTTTGGGCAAGAAGAAAGTGCGTGTGTGGCAGTGTAGTTTGTGTGGTGCAGTGTGGACATGAAACGAGGCGGCCTGGGAAATGAATACCTCGAGGCTGGCTTTATCATTCATGGCTTGGATTGGCTTGAGGATGGTTTTCGGAGCCATATATGAGTCCTTCGCCACGGCCAGTGTCGTTCAGGTTGACCATATACTTACTTTTTTGAAGGCTTCGCCGCTTCGAAGCTAGTGGGAGTCTCTCGATTTGGATAATTGAACACAGCCCCAGACAGTGTAATAGAGGTTTTCCACCTACCTCAGAGTATTAGAAGGCCTCGACGAGAGCCACAACAAAACGGACATGATGGCGAGGTCCTCGCCATCATGTCATATACTTACTTTTTTGAAGGCTTCGCCGCTTCGAAGCTAGTGGGAGTCTCTCGATTTGGATAATTGAACACAGCCCCAGACAGTGTAATAGAGGTTTTCCACCTACCTCAGAGTATTAGAAGGCCTCGACGAGAGCCACAACAAAACGGACATGATGGCGAGGATAGGGCTGTAGACCGTACCGTATACGGCTACGGCCGTGTACGGTACGGCCTCTAACGGCGCCGGGACGGCCCTATGCCGTACCGTAAGCGCGCGATTTTAAGGCCCCTTACGGTACGGTACGGCGCCGTCAGGCCGTATTACGGAGACGGAGACGGCATGACATATGCCAAAAGAAATTGACTATTTCGGTGCTACTAATGCTATCTATTCATTTAGTTTTTGCTTTATCTCCCGATGCTGTTGACGGAGCTGGTTCTTGACTAACATCAGGCCGCGAATTGTTTGAGGCTGTAGGCTGGAACGTCGGAGACTGATCGTGTCTCGGCCCCCAGAGAAGATGCGCTCAACTGCAACGGCCGAACCTTTCACGATGATCAGCAATGGCAGACTTGAAATAAGTAGCGCACCAGGGATAGAAAGAATATCGAGAGCCATCCGATGCAAACAAGGGAATTGACGGCGACGCGCAGACCACCACTCTATCGGGTCACATTTTTTGAAGTCTTCACGCGGAAGCGTGAAGTAGTGCTCCAACTCATTGACAACCGCTTGATCGCGTTTCTCAAGTCGCGCTGTAAAGCTGCGGATTGGCTTGCTGTTTGAGATATCTTGGGGAGCCGGTGAGGGTGCACTGGCAGGTGTATCACGGCTTTTTGCATATCGCTTCTCGTAGCGATCTGCTAACCGTTCCTTGGCCGTTTCAAGGTAGGCGAGGAGGAGAGTGTCGTCGCTGTAGTCTTCTTGAATTCCTTCGTATGATATCCGTGGATCAAGCACTATGATGAGTTCTCCATGAGCATTCCACAGCAATGCAAACACGTTACTCACATGCAGCCCATGTATAGATTGGCGAAACATCAAATTTGGTGAAATAATCGCTAAGTTTAGTGTGCGCGTCGACCAATCCCTGCTTGATCTGTGGTGAAACATCATCGGGAAGGGCCCTCAGGCAGTCGCGAATGTGAAGTTGAAGCCCTCGGAAGACGGCATGTGTAGTCGACAGCATGGGATACTTTGTCTTCGACATTTGAACCGTCGCATCACGAAACATCTCTAGCCACTCGGAAACGAGCGAAATTGCTGACCAGTCACTATCGTCCAATGCGAACTGGTGTAGCTCTCGGGTCCGGTCAACGAAGCTGTCAACAGCGCTCCGAAATTTCAACGCTCGACCTGGGAACACAATCAAGATGAGATTTTGTAGTAATTGACAAGTTGAACGCACTCAGCATTTGCTGCGTTGATGACCATCGTGTCCGAACATCCAGAATTAGCATCAACACATCAGTTTCTGTGGTAGTGCCTTCATCGATGGAGTTTCGGACCTCGCGCTGCCATGATTTACGGCGCTGCGGGCTTGATCTAACCGCACGGACAATTCGACGAAGCTGGCAAAAGTTAAAGCGGATGACTCGCAAACGACGTGACATTAGTGCTCGCCTTTTTCACAGCCCCAAGGAGCGCCTTATTCGTAGGTGTAGGCGGTGAAAGATTGCCCGTTGCTTGTGTCGCATTTGGTGCCAAATCTTGGCCAGTCTCGCCGGAACCCTCGGTTTCCTCGTCCCAGTCATCGTCGTCACGCTGGGCTGCATCTAAGTCATCCCCCTTCTCGTGCTCTGATGCATAAGGGTCGTAATTTTCAGTGTCGTCCCTCGGCGCTTGCGCTTTGACTTCGGAAACGTGCTCTTGATACGAACAGGAGTTTGGCGATGAGGAATCAGCATCTTCGTTTGCCTTTTTCGGAGGCTTCTCAACTGCGCCAATACTTTCGAGGAGCTAACAATACATCAATTTTTGAAGTGCCGACTCGGAAGCAGGCGCAATTAATCTCACCTTCAGTGCAGCCAAATGGATAGTATGAGGCATGCATCGGAGCCTTGCTTCACTCTCGGAAAAAGTGATGCCAGCAGCTATGCACTTCTCCTCGATGGCGGCCACCATCGTGTCATTGTTTGTTGCGTTGTCCATTACAAAAGCCGAGATCTAAAAGAAGGAATTCAGATATTGTGGAAAATATAATGATAGCGCACGCACACGGTTCGTAAGGCCATACAGCTCCAGTGTCGCCCAGACAACTTCTGCAATATTGTCTCCCGAGTGGGCTCCAAGGAGTTCGCAGAAGTCAATCAATGTTTCCTCTGTGGCGTCATCGTCAGCGCTGAAGGGGGAATGGAAATTATTTCATACCAAGATTCCCATCGTTTGTTGTATAATGAGCAATGATCGCGATGAATGCATATCCGTTGCTCGAGGACCACGCATCCAGTGAGATTGAAACTGTTGACTTCAAGCCCTGTATTGACCGTGAGGCGAGTGCATGAATGGACAGAACACATACCTTGAACATCGTCTTGAGCCCCGCCTCCATCTCCTCCTGCATCTTCATTATCTGACTGCGTACAGACCATCGTCCGGGTATGTTCAGGCTGTCTGAACGATGTACATAATACAAGAGACGCCTGAAGGCCGGTTTATCAACCTCATCAAACGGCTGGTCGCATTCTGCTACCCATTCTGCCAGAAGTCGCTCGAACTCCCTCTGATCCCATGCCCGCGCCTTTTGTCGAGAGATTGTTTCCGAAAGTGTCGGCTGTCCCTGTCGGAGTCGTGCAAGATAGCTCTCTTCCGACACCTCATCGAACGTGCGCCGGCCCTGCGCGATCTCGATCTCCTCCGTGGTTGGCTCGTTACTGCGGCCGGTTACTGCGGGGTCTTCCCGGGCGCGTTCCGCCAGAATTTGTTGAAGACGGTACATGGGAGGAGCATGGGACTTGAGATACCCGACAAGGCCTATCATATATGAGCATGGTAGATAAGAGCGGCAATGAGAACACATACCGTTGGTGCTGGACTTCATCTTCTTGGTAATTGTGATAACCTTGTGGTCACCATGTAAGCAGCGGAAGTGCCGGTCACCATCCAGTCCGGCTTGCCCCTTGGCGTTGAGTTCCACACGTTCGAAGAACAAGAACGCGACTGCAGTTCTTTCGCGTGACTGGAATTTAGCATGAGTAAGCAACGAAGATCGTCAGAGCCACTCACCGCCTTCACCGTCTTTGTTTCTGCGGCTTTTGTCGCAGGAAGCGGCTCGTCATCTGGCGCTGGCGGTGGAGCCGTGTCAGAGGTGTTGCGTTTCTTTGCTGGAGGCTTCTCGGCACGGTCGCTTGCTTTTCGCTTCTTCCGGCCGCTCGAAGATGCGCCGACGGTTTTACTTGACCCGGAAAGAAGATCTGCCATCTGAAATATGACGGTGAGTACCATTCGTAGGATATCAGAATGCTATCTGACCTCCGCATTTGTCACTGGTTCAACCACTTGAATGTCAGAGTCAGAATCCGACTCGGATTGGTCGTCGCTGGTATCTGAGCCCGTGAAATCCCCATCGAGATCGTCCGAGTCATTTCCCTCGACGTTCACCTTCTCAGCTGCCTTCGATGACGCTTTGCGAGGCTTCCCGCGCCGCCGTTTGGTCTTCTTTTTGGGTTCACCATCTTCCTGTACATGCTCCGCAGCAAATATCTCCGCCATGCGTGCGCCGTTTCCATCCCGCCGTGGCCGACCTATAAGAATTTAGAATACAGACAAAGACTAAAGCAGGATACGACTCACCTGAACCTCCGAGTACCCGAACCCGGAGATCGAAATGAGATAATGCCGTTGTTCCCAGTTCCTGCATTGTCGCAAGCTCGGGGAGACGAGAAAGACGGCCATGGAGGTAAAGCGCGTGGTATTTAGAGGAGTGGGGGATGAGACGACGATTCCGCAAGGTTTGGATAATGTCTCCAACGGTCGTATCACCAGCAACGACTAGGGATTATTCAGCGAAAACAGTAGGATATGGGTAGTGCACCTACAGATTGGTACCGAGGCACGATCGGCGCCCATGACAAAGATTGTGGCTACGTCAAGCCTGACGAGTCGTCGAAGGCGACGCGAAGACATATTTGACCAGTGCCATCGCTTTCGTGGACGTGATTCCGATGACCATAATAAACGATGGAGTTGAAAGAATAACGGCCAACGTGATTGGGCTACTAGAGGATAAGTATAACAAGGAGAGCGTCTAGCTTTCACTCACCGATAACGAGAAGCAGGGTCGTGAAATATACTGCCAACAAAGTTACACCCAGGGAGAAGATTTTGGCCGCGTCTTGATTGGGGAGGATGGTGGAGGGAGTAAGACGAAGGCCAACAAATAGTGAAGCGGCTGGAAGTGACACCAGCAGAACAAATATCGCAAACCAAACATCAGCGCGGTATACCAGTGCATGCCGCGATGAGCATGCAAGCACACTATGTGCATATTTGGTGAATTGAGGTTCTGCGAAAAGAATGAGCCACAGTGGTGATGCATTGGTAAGAAATGCTCACGCAAAGATTGTTCTTCGACATCTCGAGATGCGACTGCATGAGTCACTGACGGAGAGGGAGACTGCATCGTTTGGGGTTGCGCTGACATTTATGGCCTGTGTTTATACCTTTAGTTTTTGTAAACATGAACGGATAAGACGAGGATAAAACTCACCTACAACGCTCCGAGTCGAGCGCATTTGCACACCCCGAGCTCGTCTAATGTGTAAGGGAGCAGAGCGGAGCACCGCCTGGACGGGCCCCGGCGGTCTTGCGCGATGTTGGGTGCGCGTTGTGAGGTCAGCGCTCAGGGGAGTAGCTAAGAGAGGGCGACCGCCGCGGCTCCGAGTGAGGTGAAACCCACATGGTGGGAGGAGCCAAGGCGTTTAAGCGCTGGCACTGCCTTTCCGATCCACGTCATCGGAACACCGCAATTGGGTGCCAAGCGTAAGTGCCGTCATAGCCGTATACGGCTATGACGGTACGGCGTCATACGGCCTACGGGACGGGAGCCTGCCGTACCGTCAAGGAAGGTGACAGAGGGCTCTACGGGCCGGTGACGGCGCCGTATTACGGGTAGCCGTATGCCGTCTAGTACGGCGACGGCCTACAGCCCTAGGCGAGGAAGAAAACCCCGAAAGCTGGATGACACCATTGACACATGATGATCACACTGCATAAGCAGATTAGAGTAAGCTGGAAGTTGATCTAAGTAATATGAGTATGGATATGAACATGAAACAGCGCAAAAAAAAGAGCTTGTGATTACAGCGTCGAACGACCGACGACCGCCGCTTTTACACGGAGATTGCACGCGTCCCAATTCCGGAATTGGGCTCGTGATCGTGTGTCGGATCATGTGTCATCCGCATCACGTCGTTCCTACCGTCATCGATTCGATTCGTTACCGCCGTTGCTCTCTTCGTCGCTCGCAACCGCCATGAGCGCCGTGGAGACCAGTGCTTTTCGCGCCCTGTTGCGCCCAGGCGACACTGTAAAGGTCTTACTGGATGCCTTTGCTATTCCACCCGGCACGGACCCTACTACTGGTGCCCCTCTCCCCCCAGCGGACGCCGTCGCTCTACTGGCTGACGCGGAACGGGTCCGGCGAGCAAGCGAGGACGCGAGGAACCGAAGGCTTGTGGCCGTTGTGGTGCACAATGAAGGGTCAGAGGAGGGAAGGTGTGCTAACCGCTTTTCTCTTTTTCTGCTCTGGCTAATGGCCGGAATAGCGTGTTTGTCTTTCGGGCGCGGTCAACAGGGAAACAACTGGAGCAGTCGGATATACTACGGGTGTTTCCTGTGTTTGGTAACCTCAATATCAGCATGGCGCAGATTCGGAGGACCACGCTTATGGATAGTTTGAGGTCGGGGTCTTTGCCACAAGCTGCTCCCGGTGCGTTGCTACTCTTTCGCTCTGTATGTAAAGCCTGAGCGACTCCAGGATTCCTCAGCCTCACCATTACTCAAGACGACGCTGCGTCGATAAGTCAGACACCACTTACACTTTGCACCCAACAAGTCGAGACGTTACGGGTCCTGCTGACTGAATGCAAAAGGCTGAAGGAGCTTGCTGGTCGGTTCCGTCTTTTCCACGCCACTCCCCTGAACATTACTAGATGCTCCGCCTATCTCCACCGCGCCGGTCTTGACGACCTTTTCTTGGCTATCGCCATATACCGCTCGCCGCGCACCATTACCACCGTGTACGTTTCCAATTTTTAAATCCACCCCGATACCTGATTGTCTCGCAGTGTTTTCCATCCCCGAAGATCTTCGTATTGCTCGGACGCCTTTGCATGGCCGACTTTCGGCCGCATTCGCTGGTCAGCCAGGAGACGATGCTGGTGACGTTGTGCGCATTCGGGATGAGTGGATTCGAGTCAAGGCAAGGGATGAAGCTGGGACTGGTGCTACCCGCCTAAGGTGTGTGCTACAGACCAATAATGTTTTTGAGACTAAAGTTGTTTAGTATTCGCATTGGGACATTCAATGTTAACGGAAACCTACCATCGCAGGACCTCTCGCTTTGGCTTGGTGCCCAACCGCTACAGCCATACCAATCTCAAGGAATTGTAACTATGGCACCGGCCCTCCCTCCCCTTTTGACGGACCTCGGGAAAATTGCAAGGAGCGATTTTGAGGAAGGTGTGTTCTGTCAGCTTATCGCACCACCTCTTTCTGAACGGTGTCCCAGTCATGACTCCTGCTACCGCCATGACAGACAATTTCCAATCTCCCGTCTCTCCCGATCCTTCGGTGATAAGCCCGCTTGCAGGCTCAACGTCGATTCTTTCCCTCGTCAGTCCGACATCACCAGAGTCTTCGTCCAGCACGGTTAGCTCAGCTTCTGCAACCGCGACATCTCCACAGTCTTCGGTCCCATCTTCGGCAACTTCGACATCGTCTACTGCGACTTTGACCACTGCAAGCTCATCCGAAAAGCCGGACCTTATTGTTCTAGGATTCCAGGAGCTCGACCTTTCTACCGAGGCACTCTTGTATGCAAATAGCACCGCCAGGGAGGAGGCATGGATGGAAGCCATTTATGCTGCGTTGGGGCAGAGTAAGGATTCCGAGAAGGAAAAAGGGAAGAATAAAGGCGGATATGTCAAGCTGGCATCCAAGCAGCTTGTGGGCATGCTCATTATTGCGCTCGTCAAAACGGAGTTGAGGGCATGCTTCGACCAGGTGCAGACTGCTGCTGCTGGAACTGGAATAATGGGGCTCATGGTATGTGTCGTATGCTCCAGTCTATCTGTGATGATACTCAAGTTACACCCAAAGGGCAACAAGGGCGGCACGGCCCTGCGTATGCGATTTACCCCGCCTGTTGCGAGCCCCTCGCGAAGCAGCTCCAGAAACCCGTCCATCTTGTCAATCTCCAGTGCCCAAACGACTTCGACAACTGCAACCGGTGCCCAATCAAGCAAATCAGTCAAGCTGCGCAAACCGGGATCCACCATTCTAACCTTTGTCAACTCGCATCTGGCGGCTTTCGATGAAATGGTCGACCGCCGGAATGCGGACTACGCAGAGCTAACCAAGCGATTGCGATTCGAGCTTGGAACCTTGGGCGGGGAAAGTGCGGGGAGCGAGTTGCTTTTTGGTGACGGCGAGGGAGCTGATGCTGTTCCACCGACACCGACGGCAAGTGCAGGGGCGCCGATGCCTGCGGGGACCACCTGTGGAGTTTTTGAGAGCGACGTCACATTTTGGTTGGGCGGTAAGGAACGTGCTATTCGTTTGTGTCTGAAACTGACTTTTTTGCTCAAGACCTCAACTATCGAATCGATGCCCCCGACGGGGATGTGCGTACGATACTTGCGTCAGATGAGTGGGAGGACGGCAGGTTGGAGACGTTGGTGATATACGACCAGGTCCGTGCTCTTGCCCGGATTTTCCGTTCTAATGTGTTTCCAGCTTAAAGCCGCCATTCGCGCTAACAAGGCTTTTGGCACGTTCCAGGAGGGCACACTGGCCCATCACCCGTATGAGTCCACTTGTTTGGCCTCTAGCAATCTCAACGTATATAGGACCTATCGATTCAATGCTGGTCTGCTAAAGGACGAGCTAGGCTACGACCTAAAGTAATTATCCTTTCGTGTTCAAAAGAACATACTCATTATTTCCAGACGACGACCCGCATGGACAGATCGTGTGCTCTGGGCTAGTAACAACTTCACTCGCGTCCAGCAGACGAGCTATACAGGCCATCCACAGTACTCTATTAGTGACCACAAGCCAGTATCATCCGATTTCACCCTCAACGTGAGTTTTCATTTTGTCCCACTGCCTTGGCTGATATATATGAATGATCAGATGGACGTCTTCGATTTGCCAACAGCAGAAAAGTCTGCAGACAGGCTGTATCGCCAGTTGCGTGGTCTTGAAGACGCACATGAAGATCACAACGCCCACGTTAGTTTGAAGGTGCTGGAGAGCAGTGTGGATTTGGGCAAGATTGGGTAGGGACTGACTATATGCCTTCCTGCGGTAACTGACTTCGGTACAGGCACACTAAGTCGGTGACGAAACAAGTGACAGTGAAGAACATTGGACGCATCCCGTGCGCATATCGCCTTGTACCAATAGATGGAGAATCTGCGCCTCGTAAGTCTCGACTTGAAAAAGATTCCAAAATGAGCTGATAATGTCCAGATCCGGACTGGTTGAAAGTGGAACCTATGGCGGCGTTGCTCCTCCCCGACGAAATCGTCCAACTGACGCTGACCACCACCATCGACAACAACTGTGCCGCTCGGCTGAATACACAGAATAAAGAGTTGAATTGCACGCTGATCCTGCACACGATTATGGGGAAGGATCATTTTGTCGCGGTCACCGCTGAATACGGTCGGTTGTTGCGCCGTGTTTTCCGATGTAATTCACTGATTGTGGCGGCAAGTCCCAACGTGCTTCGGGACTTCGTTATCTCGACTGACAAGATTACCCGGTCCGATCCGCACCGGCGGTGATCTGTTATCCGAGGAGCGCGCGATAAACGCCCCTCGAGAGATAATGAGATTAATCAACTGGATGATGTCGTCGAGTGTTCGTATGGCGAGTCTTTTGTGCGATCATCCGTGTACCTACTGCTGATGCGGCGATTTAGGACAAGGTCTTCGTGGAGCGCGCGGATGAGGACATTATTGACACGATCCGCGAGGTATGCGTCAAACGAATGACAACGACAACGATCTGTCAAGCTTATATGTTCGTAGTGTCTGGATACGGGTGTAGATTTTCCCTTCACGCCCGACGAGAAGGAGGACAAAGTGCCTGTTGCGTTTGGGGAAACGCTACTGCGGTTACTGAACTCATTGCCTGAACCTCTCGTCCGCGCCGATCTGCAACCCCAATGTGTGTTGCAGACTAGCCGTGATGAGGCATTCGAGATGCTGGACGCCTTTGAGCCCGCCGCTGTCAATGTGCGTCTGCTTCTCTTTCCATTTCTCTCACTCCCGGCTTGACGACTAACTACAGGTATGGATCTCCGTGACGGCCTTCCTTCATTTCGTATGCCAGTCCTCCGCGGAGCCAGAAGCGAAGACGTTGGCAGTTGCACGATTGTTCGCCCCCGTTCTGCTTAGAGACGATGCACGGGAGGTGTCGCCTGTTGGCAGGCGGAATTTCTTGTTGGCATTCATTCGACCATGAGGTGGCGGGGGGCTACTTCGGTTCAACTGTCTCCCTCTCAATCTTTTGGATATCAGCTCTGGAATATTATACCCGTGGTTCCATTCGGCGCAGCGGACGAGCAGGTGTGCAAAGATGTAAGAGAGAGAAGCATATAAGGACTACATGGCTGAACTGGCGAATACAATTAGGTCCTAATGTGCTAACAATGGACAAACGGGAAAGCAAGAAAAAGGGAAAGCAAAATAAAAGGGAAAGCAAGAATTACTGATCTTCCTCGTCCTCGTAATGGGCCTGTAGTGCGTGCTGTTGTTGGGCTCTGGCACTTGCCGTCGCGCTTTGGTGCTGGAATTCATGTCACCAACGACCAAATTAAGTAAATTTCGACAAACTTACCGCCCTCAGCTTGGCTAGATGTATCCTAAGCACCTCGGTATAATTATCGAAACCTAGCGCGCTCATCGCGTATAGAATGTCTTCGCCACCGATGGTCTTGCGCTTTTCGCTGAGCGAGCGCTCCGCCGCCTCGGACGTGATAAACGAGATGAACTCCGACACACATTCCTGCACGCATTCTTTTGCGTCCTTCCCGATTTTTGTCGCCGGCGGAACTGCCGCCTTCATGATTCGCGAGACGTTGGCGATCTATGACAGCGTAAGGCAGGATTAACATTGGCGAAATGGCCTACGGGCAGAAAGCGGTCTTGCTCGCGATACTCGCTGATGTCGCTTTCTGTGGGCGGGGCGCCGCTTGGCTGGGGGGTGTAGGGCTGGAGGGCGATCCCGCGGTTGGCACCGCCTGCCCGCATCGCACTGGGGCCTGCCTCTGGCTCGTGGTCGTGGTCGTGGGGGTGTGGCGGGTAGGGTGACGTTGGCGAGCCGAGCGGAATTGTTCTCGGAGGGTGGCGGTGCCCGTAGGCGCTGTGTGGGTCCGCCTGCAAAGGGTAGCCAGAGACGGCGGAATGCGGCGGGAGCGCGAGCGGAATATGGCGCTGTCTGGGGTCGGCCATCGCTCGCGATGGAAAAAGGAAGACCTTGATCGAGTCCATGCAAGGTTACTATATAGCCCAGCGCGAGAAACAATCAAGAAGAATCGCGCACCAGACCCGATGGCCATCTGATGAGTAACCTGCAATCACGGGGTGCTTGACGTCGCCCTTTCAAATCGGGCGCCTTCAGGTTGGGCAGGGAGTGGGCTCGCCATGCTGCCCTTCTGCGGGGAAGAACCGTTGGCGGAGCCGGTTTCAAGGTGCGTGCGAGTTGTTCCCAGCGCAGAAGTATTGCCGTGCAACGGATGACCTGACTGTGTATGTGGGAGCCAATGAGATGCCAGGCCGAGGTCATCGTCGTCCACAATCGTGCGATTCGGCTCCGAGTACTGCCAGCGGCGCAAATGGGTGCATCTATTCAAGAAGCGGCCGCTTTGATGGCGATTTGCATGACGATGGATGGGGTATCAGTACCACAGCGGATCCGGAAGACAAAGAAGGTGGCCCTGTCATATTTGAGATTGTTCTGCGAGGAGGAACCCAGAGTACCGGCTGCGGCGACTCTCGTCAATGGAGTCACGGTGAAAAACTTCTATACACTTACGTGAGAGCCACGCGATTTGCTCCGATCATGATCTCCATCATGAGTCCGAATTTGTCCGAGGTAACTTCGGGAGGGTACGGAAGACGAATGAGCTATCTCCGTCGGACCGCGGTGTCTTGGCGATGCATCGGGAGTCAGCCAGGCGCCAGCGGGAATCCAGCAGCGGCGCCGGTCATCACGATGAAAACACGGGGATCAGCTTCTCCCAGACGGGATGATACCTCCAAGGCTGTGGATCTTCGCTACAACATCGCTCTTCTGGGAACTTTGAAGACAAGCAGCAAGGGACTGAATCATGGTCTACGAGTTTGCTCGGTTGTGAATCTCACATCACACTGCATTTGCAATGATCAACTAATAATAATATCGGGGTGTACATATAAAGTTCAAAAGATGGTTGGGGCTGGTGTTGGCACTTCTCAGGCTCCCCCCCTTCAATGGCCGCCACTGCGATACCAGTATCACTTGCTACCACCTTTGATGCTGGGCCAACAATTGGTATGTATGATGAACTGTAGTGGAGTGATATTATTGATTAAGAAGGCACATTATAGGAGCCTTGCTAATTGGGCTAGTTGGGTCTAGCATCTTATTTGGCCTCCTCACTGTGCAACATTACATGTACTATAAACAATTCCCTGAAGATAAAGTAACTCTGAAAGGATTTGTATGTAATTATATCTCAGCATTATGATGTTGTTGACTTCAATTAGGTTGCTCTGATATGGTAAGCTAGAGGTCTATTATACTTATGCCCAAGCAACATTGAGCATTCCATAGGCTTCTAGAGCTTATTCAATTAGTTGCTGTCATCCAAGTGACATATCTGTTTGCAGTCACAAACTATGGACAACCTGAGAGCTTGATGCACAAGATACCTCCATTATTTGCATTATCAGTTCTCTTGGGATCCTGGGTCACAGGATTAGGTTTGTTGTGAACTCTCTATTCCATCACAATCTCTATATGAATGTTCAACAGTTCAGGCGTTTTTCTCATTCCGGATCTGGACTCTTGCCCCAAATCCAATCTTCAAAATGTTGTCTGTGCTTCTATGGACAACAATTTCAGGTTTTATTGCTTGCTCTACAGCAAATATAGTCTTGGTTATCAAAGCTCCTAATATTCTGGCATATATTGAGCAGCACCCCACACTCATTCTAACTCCTACTGTCATCAATTTATTTGATGACCTCACAATCACTATCTCATTAGTGACAATCCTTATCCTAAGCCGCAGCACTGGATTTTTGACCACTAGCTTGCTGGTAGATCACTTAATTAGATGGACACTTGGTATGTGATAATCAGCTAACCTAACTCATCTGTCAATCATTTATCCATCAACAGAAACTGGTTTGATGACTAGCATCTTCAGTTGTTTGAATTTGGGCTTTGTAAGTAAATAGCTTCCAGATTGGTGCCATCTTGTTTATTTAATTGCAGTATGTCTCTCACCCAAGAAATTGTATATGACTCTTCTGAAAAGGCATACATTGACTGACCATCATACAGTTATTTGGATTGCCCTTCAGATTGTCAAATCACGTGGTATGATCTGGGATCTATCATTTGTGATAATGGCTAACAAAGATTATATAGTATTTGCAAATACACTTCTAGCCTCTCTCAACTCCAGAGGAGCATTGCGTACAATCAATCATGCAGGCACATTCCAAACATGGCCAAACATGGCTGACCAATCTCCTGTGCATGACAGCCGATCTACAATTGGTGTTACTCACCCTGCACCACTGACTATTGCAATGACAAGGGTGACTTTGCAGGAGCATGATTACTCCTTACGATCAGATGGAGCAAAGCAAGAGCATGATGAAGTATGAGAAATGAGTGAAGAGCTAGAGATCCAAGTGCAAAGTGCAAACCTAAAATTTCTTGTTACTATGTATTACTTGTATATAGTCTTGCTCCAGTGTTATAGGATCTATCTAGGAACTCGAAGAGTGTGTACTTATGATCATCAAAAGTGAGTATCCATAGGTCATTTACAGTTTAGTCTAAATCTGGACACTGGATGCAAAATTAGCCAGAAAGTGGAGACTGACTGTATACTAAAATTTAAAATTTTATGAAATTTTATGATATAATATGGAATATCCAGGGGGGCAATGTATGTTCAATTACCACATAATTCAAGTTTAATTAAAATCGATGCATTAACAAGCCAAAAGATACTCACTTTTAATGGTAATGAGTACAACTTGAATAAAATAGTATAGTAGATGTCATGGATAAGACCTGGCCCATCCGCTCCAGCGCTTGTGTCAGGCCACTAGGGGCCTGCAACACACAGCACATGATGACAGGGAACAGGTGCCCCAGTAGGAGGAGCACACATGTGGGAAGCATGTGACCAAGAATGACATGTTGAGCCGTCGCCAAGCCCAACTCGACACAAGGGGACTGGGGATGAGTGCTAGGAGGCTAGGAGTAGTGCCTGGCCTGCAAGAGATGTACAATTGTCCCCTCTGCAGCTAGGAACAGGGACCAGGAGAAGCAGGACATCAGGAAAAACCTCCCTGAGAAATCTCATGGAATTTCTAGAATTTTCAGTGGCCTTGAGAAATCAACAGAAATTTACCTAAATTTCACACAATTTCTGGAAATTTCCAGGAATCTCTCTTTCATGTCAATTAGAACTGTGAAATAAAGAGAATGAACTATATGGCAAGTGTGACTACTCATTTATCACAAGATCCTCTACTTGGTAGCAGTTGTCATTGCAATTTTTTAACTCGAGTATTACTGGCAAGGCACTTCAAGTCCACCATCAAAGACGAGCCCTAAAGCTATCAATGTGTCATGTTGCCATGTTGTTGGCAGATCCGTGATAGAACGGTTACCAATGTGTCACATCAGGGAAAAAAAATCGTACCATTCTTTCCGTTCCCCCTCATGTCCGCTCACCTTCTCCCCCTTGCCTCATCCTCCATACCCATAGAGGGCCTAACTCCGCATTATCCTAGTCTCACCTATCGTGCCAAGATGCTTTCCTGGGGCTGTAGCCGTGCCTGGTGTCTGCTGCGACAGTGCTAGCGGCCTGGCACGATACTCTCCCTGCACTGGATGCACTGCAGCACGAGCGACTTCAACAACCGGTGTGTCTTCCTCCCTCGAAAGCGCGCACGAGCATAGGCCTCATACTCACCTCCGACTCCAGAAGGCTTCGCGGGAGACAACGCCGTCGTTGTCCGAGCATCACCCATTCTTCTCCCGGTGCGCCCATTCTCCTTCTCAATTCAAATGCTCAGCGCATGTGGTTTCAGGGATGACGGACTCACCTGCGTCACTGCGCTGCCCTCTGCACCACCTCCCCGCCGCCGTCTCTAGGCCCGCCGCCGAGCCGCTGCTCCGATCAGGCTGGAAATACACAAGCACTTGGGGACGACATGTCCCCTACTTGTGTGAAATTTTCAGCCCGGCCGATGCAGCGGCTGTGCCGCACGCGCAAGGGCGGACTTCCGCCCGCCCTCCACACTGCTGCTCTCTGGCTGCTTCGGCGTCGGCTCAAACGCGGCCAGGGGGCGCGGGTAGCATGCTGCTACCCATCTGAAGATTTGGCGCGGAACGGCCGCGCTGTCCGCCCGTATCGCTGTTCTGTTCACACAAGCACATTTGTACGTGCTAACTTGGGTTGCTCCGAGTGATTCTCATGGGATTGTAGATTGTCAACATCGTTGCAGCCCGTTGTAGATGTCCTCGTCATAATTCCGGTGTGTCTCGCTTCGCTCTTACCTTCTGACCATTGACACATGATGTGCAGGCCCCTTCCTTCCCTGCTCTGGCCGTCCCTGAGCGCAGGATGCCCGGAAGTTGAAGTCCGGTGCATGGCTGGGTCTGTTACGGACGAGCATGGCTTGTTAGTGTTGTTTTATGGGTGCGATGTGAACTGGCACACACTACAGGCTCTTCGTGTATCATGTTATCATTGTATTGTAGTGTTTCAATCTATATTTTCCTTAATCTCTGCATCTTGATCCAATGAGAATGTATGAAAAGACTATGAAACTACTGGAAATCTGCTGGAAATTTCACAAGATTTCTGAAAATTTTTGGGGGACTAAAGGAATCACAGAAATCCTGGAAATAGAAGAAATCACTCAAAATTCTTGCTGATTTCTGGAAATTTCCCAAAATCTCATGGGATTTCTGGGGGAGGATTTTCCTGATGGAGAGGCCAAGGGTATCTGATCACCCCTCAGCAGGCCCACATATATAAGGCGTGATAGTGTACACTATACTCTATCACTTAGATGGTTTATTGTACTGCTGCTCTCTGTGCAAGGAGGCATTGCTGACTCATCAGGCCCAAAATGACCTGATTTGACCCTAACACCAACTTCAATGAGTAACTGCTTTAAAGTTCAATTCTACCCTGCTCGCTTTGCTTGTGGGCCTGACGATCCATTTGTTCTGTTCTAGGCACATGTTCTCA